GCGATCTACGGTTGTTTCATGTTGCCCCAAACAGTGAAAGACAAAACCACGGGGTGACACGGTGACACGGGGTGACACACAGGCGACTCGGGGTGACACGCAGGCGACACGGGGTGACACAGGGTGACACGGGGGCGACACGGGGGCGACACGGGGCGACACGGGGGCGACACGGAGTGACACGCTCAAACGACAGTAGTTCGCAGCGATCTACTGTCGTTCTGGGGGGGGGGGGGGCGACACGGGGGCGACACGGGGGGGGCGACACGGGGGCGACACGCAGGTGACACGCAGGTGACACGCAGGTGATACGGGGTGACAGGGGTGACACGCTGTGAGGCGCTTGCTGCACTTGCTGCCACCCCTTGATTGCTACCACCCCTGCTATGGCATCTCCCCGTTGTAAACAGTAGCTAGCAGTACTTAGACTATGGGCATCCCGCAAATGAAAAAAATGACGGTAGTTTTTCTAACTACGGTCGTTTTTGGGAAATTTCTATCTACTGCCGTTTGGGCAGTAGTCGGAGGGTGCTGGTAGATACACCATGTACGTCGATGCATGGGTATGGCTCAAAATTAAAGAGCTAGGGTTACGCAGGTTTTGCGCTTTGGTTCCATTTACCCAGTTGCCATTTTGGTACCACTTTTTTGAGCCACAGTCACATATACCCACCCCGGGTGGAGAAGATTGACCAAACGACTTTTTGGTCGGAGTCCCAGGGGATCTCTACTGAGAGTTGGGGAGGCCGAGGCGACCTGTTTAGCGCACTGTTCCAGCTGGCTTGTTCGCAGTTCCCGCAGCTCAGATTTCCAGAAGGCCACCAAATCGGTTTTGATTCCCAAGTATCAGGATCTGTTGGCATTGAGCAGAAGTAGCAGTCATCCGGAGAAAGGGTGGATCTCTAGCGCCTTTTCCCCATTTCTTTGGGTCCCTTTAGCATCAAGCAACAGCTGCGCCTTCCTTTCCGTGGCCTTGAAAGTGGCTTGGGCCTTGATCTCCTCGGGTTCTTCCAGCCATGCCCGTTTGGAGGTGACCAAGCCCCGATATCAATGGCTTTTGACCAGCGCGCTCCGCCGAGGTCGGTGTTTTCGAGCACATGTTGGGCGCATTCTCGGTGTGTGAGACTCATATCACATGCTTGCAGAACCCTCTGGAGGCTCCGTTCGGATGCCTGCCTTTGGGACTTTCCCGCTTTTGGCCCGCCCAATCGATGCGCACGGAGCCGGGCAGGAGAGCGTGGTAGGCCTGGGCCCGAGTTTGGAACACGGGAGCGGAGCGGCCGCTGCGCTTCTATATATGGCTGTGGCTCAAAAAACCGGTACCAAAATGGAACCCTGGTAAGTGGAAGCATGGACCAAAACCTGCGTCCCCTCCTGTTTAATTTTGAGCCACACCCATATAGTCGGGTTTCCGTGAATGAACACGGGTGCTTGTTTTTTGTTGGTGCCGTTTTTGCCGGTTGTTCGAAGGGGAAACCCACACGCAAGCCACTCTTTTCTAGGTTTCTATGAAGCCAAAATGCTGGGACCCTCAAGGTACTCAAACGGGAGTCACTCCTCATTTGGGGGCAAGCGATTTGTATTCGTTGTTTGAGGGTCCGGTTTGATGGGTGCTTGTTTGCACTAAAGGGTGTTCCAATTTTGAGGCGAAGGGTACGGGCCCGTCAAACAAAACCAACACGAAGACCCACCCATTTTGGTTCTCTTTTGGGACCCAGCTGAATGCTTCATAGTTGCCTCTCGCTGCCTAGCCCCAGTCCCGCCCTCTCTGAATCGGAGGGCGCTTTGAGGAACTCCGAGCCCCCCAGCCGAAAACACGAAGCCAAGATATGCCAAGATCGGAGTATGTGGTGTTTTTCTAGGGTGGTTTTTTGGTGGTCGGTGGTTTATGGGGCCACATCCAACCACCCACCCGTTGAATTGCAGCAAACGAGTTGGGTCCCAACTGAATGCAGCTAGAGATGCTGTACATACTGGGGGGTGGTCAATATCAGAAGCCCTTGTTGGCGTCCCCTTCAAAAGGCGGCACGCACCGGCGTCACCTGGGTCTAATCGGGGGCCATATTTATGATCCTATATGGGTTGGCTTATAGGGGAACACCCTCAACAGTTCGAATTCACTTCGAATCATTGAACGTTACTTCGATTACCGGTAATAAAGTTAAGGTGTTTTTCCTTTGAACTCAGTTCGATTCATTGAAGAAACCTCAAGGGGTAGCTCTTTGCCAGCGTTTGCTCAGGTGTCGTTGTCAGAGAGGCCGTTTCGCGCGCGGTCGTGAAGGGTTTCGAGCGCTGGTTGCTAAAGCTTTGGCCCTGACCCAAGAATCGCCACCGTACTAATCTGGATCTGTCCTTTTTTCAGACCCCTAACATGTGTTGCTTTTGAGGTTTATTCCCCAGATAGCTGAAAGCTATAGGGGTTCTAACTTCTAATAAAGAGGGGAAAGTGATTTGCGAGATTGAGGGCCGGGTGCTAGGGGGCATGCAGTTTGAGGTGCTGGTGGATGCTGCTTTGCGAGCTTGACGGCCGGGTGCTAGGGGGCATGCAGTTTGAGGTGCTGGTGGATGCTGCTTTGCGAGATTGAGGGCCGGGTGCTAGGGGGCATGCAGTTTGAGGTGCTGGTGGATGCTGCTTTGCGAGCTTGACGGCCGGGTGCTAGGGGGCATGCAGTTTGAGGTGCTGGTGGATGCTGCTTTGCGAGCTTGACGGCCGGGTGCTCGGGGGCATGCAGTTTGAGGTGCTGGTGGATGCTGCTTTGCGAGCTTGACGGCATGCGGGTGCTAGGGGGCATGCAGTTTGGGGTGCTGGTGGGTGCTGCTTGCGAGCTTGACGCCGGGTGCAGGGGGCATGCAGTGTGGGGTGCTGGTGGATGCTGCTTTGCGAGCTTGACGGCCGGGTGCTAGGGGGCATGCAGTTTGGGGTGCTGGTGGGTGCTGCTTTGCGAGCTTGACGGCCGGGTGCTAGGGGGCATGCAGTTTGGGGTGCTGGTAGGTGCTGCTTTGCGAGCTTGACGGCCGGGTGCTAGGGGGCATGCAGTTTAGGTGCTGGTGGATGCTGTTTTGCAAGCTTGACGGCCGGGTGCTATGCAGTTGGGGGTGCTGGTGGGTGCTGCTTTGCGGGTGCTACGAAGCATGCAGTTTGGGGTGCTGGTAGATGCTGCTTTGCGAGCTTGACGGCCGGGTGGGGGTCTGCTGGTTTGCGAGCTGGTCGGCGAGCTTGACGGCCGGGTGCTGGGGGGCATGCAGTTTCGGGTGCTGGTGGATGCTGTTTTGCGAGCTTGACGGCCGGGTGCTCGGGGGCATGCAGTTTCGGGTGCTGGTGGATGCTGTTTTGCGAGCTGGCCGGGTGCTAGGGGGCATGCAGTTTGGGGTGCTGGTGGATGCTGTTTTGCGAGCTTGACGGCCGGTTGTGCATGCAGTTTGGGGTGCTGGTGGATGCTGCTTTGTGAGCTTGACGGCCGGGTGCTAAGGGGCATGCAGTTTGAGGCGCGGGTGGATGCTGCTTTGGTTGTACCGGGTGCTAGGGGGCATGTTTGGGGCGCTGGTGGATGCTGTTTGCGTGTAACGGTTTGTGGCTGGTGTATCGTCATGATGTTCCCACGTTATGGTGTGTGGGTGTAGTGGCGCCGTGATGCTGTCAACATCAGGATGATGCAGAATTTCATTAAGCTGTCGCGTTCGTGGCTGTGGTATCATCATGATGCTGCCTTTGCCATCAGCATGATGCTGTTCGCATCACCATGATGCTGTCCGCATCATCATGATGCTGCCCGCATCATCATGATGCTGTCCGCATCATCATGATGCTGTCGAACTCATCAGGACCTCGTTTTTGCTTTTTCCTGCCGGATTGCTCTCAAAATCATCATTATGCTGCTGATCTCATAAGGACGTTGTCTGCGCGTTTGTTTCGTGGCTGTGGTGTCATCATGGTCTACATCATCATGATAATGCTGCGTCATGGTTCGTATCCGTGGTGTGCTATCTGGGGTCTATGCTGGTGTAATTTTATACATTTCCACAAAAAAGGGGGTACCTGGAACAAAGCCATCCATCAGTTGTTTTGCTGCTCGGCTTACTTCAACCGGAGAGCATGAGCTAGAGGAGACTTCCAGAGCGAATTGGTCGAAGAGCCAGACTTGTTCACTAAGCAGGGTCCGGCGGGACAGTCTGAGTGAGGCCATCCACTGGGAATGTAGTCTAACAGCCACAACTAGGTCCCCAGTAGTACCCTTTTACCAACTTTTTTTGGGAGGGTTTCCCTACTAAAATGGACTACAGAAAAAAAGTTGGTACCCTTATTCTAACCTCTCTACTGGAGGACCTAGACAACCCCAGGGCTCCATGAGGGTCATCATCGTTTGAGCCCCGGAGTTTGTTTAATTGGAAGCAAGAGAGAAACCAGTTCGTTGGAACGATCTGAGTTTCTTCCATTTGTTGAAATGTGTTTTTGATTTGTTCATGTTGGTTTTAAAGGGAATCGATTTCACTACTGGAAGTACGTGTTCATTCTGTCCAGGCGGCTTGTGCAAATGGAAGGTTAGAATGAGAGGTCATGAAGTATGAAACAGAGTCAGAGATATTGTTTTCTGTGGTTCCCTGATTTGCTCATTTCTCGGAAGCACGCCATTTACAGACCTGAATCATGGGCCAAGATGTTCTTTGGATGCCCGGATATTGAATTATCCGGATGGGGTCTTTCAAAGGAAACCACTAGTTAGGTGCCCTTTAAAATGCGGTATTGCATCGCTTCAGCAATTGTTCAGGGTAGTTTGAGGGTCCAGGCAGTCGAATGGTTCGGATGCATTCCAAGTTGGCAACGGGAGGTTCTTTTCTGAGACAAACCTGAATCTCACTGAGGGCTTCTGGTGGTTTTGGTGGGGTCCAGGGTTGGTTCAAAACACGAACCGAGACTTGGTCGCTTTCCGTGTTACAAGGCTGAGCCGTCTTGTTTTACAGTTGAAGCGTCGGGCATTCTGCGATTGGCACTTGAGCCGCTTATAGCTTCTGGCTGCAGCAGTAAGACATCGCAAGCGGGATTCCAGAATGGCGCGCTTACTCTTTGCTCTTACCCTGGCAGCTGCCGTGGCTGATGAGTGTCCTTTGGAAGGCTGCGAGGAGGCCGGGCTGATGCAGCTCCAGGGCAAAAAGGAGAACGTGGTGCATGAGGCTGACCAGGACCGTCCACGTCGTGATCGACGAGATAGCCGCTACGAAAGCTATCACCACTACAAACAGTACAGCTATGGACCTTCGCCACCTACTCGGCAGTCGACGACAAGTGAACCGGCAGACCCCTCGACGACAACTGCAACACCGGCGCCCCCGCCGCCACTGAAATGCGAGGATGCTGAGCCCCAAGCTCCGCGCAATGTCAGCTGCGGCTTTGTTGGAGAGAAGAAGGCCAGAGTCAAACCTTTGGATTCCGACTCCGTTATCAAGTTCATCCAGTGCAACCTCCACTTTCACTTGGGGGCGGAGCACCTCAGTGCTGGTGAATATGATCTTGACTCTCCACCACCAGGAACTGAAAAGGCCTCAACGGTTACGCCTGGAAAGTTCTGCAGCGTTTGCGACATCCCGCCCGTGCAGCTTGAGCCATATGAATTTGAGTATTGCAAGAATGTCTCAGTGGGCAACACCTATGAATTCCACTGGGTCTTCTCGACCGGCGCCCCGCTGGTCGGCTTGCGTGACGATGGCGAGGAGGGTCAGCTGGGCATCACTGACGGCTTGGGCGGTGCCCTGAACCGAACGAACAACCCAAAGGTCATCGTGCGTGGCCAGGCTTGCCGCATCATCAACAACGCCTCGCTTGACACGGAGGCAAAGATCGAAGCGGACTATGCAGACTTCCTCACGCAGTGGCGCACGCCACCCGCAGGGCAGGGAGTTCGATACATGGGCTCCACCACTGGCGACGCCTTCAACGACGAAGTCTGTTCACCGATCGAAGTGAATTGGCATGTGGACACCAAGTGCTGCACACTGTCGGCTCAGGCCTTCGACAGGACTTGCAAGGCAATGTACGATGAGGGCTTGCGCGACGACCTGAAGCCGAAAGGTTCTCGGGCCCCAGTGTCTGCAGCAAATTCAGCGAAGGTGGTCTTTCCGCTCAGTGAGCCCACCTGCAGCAACTAGACCTCTTTTGATGGGGCCAGGCAGGTTGTCTCGAAGCCAGTGCACTGCATGCGATCGGCGATCGTAGTGCCCAAAAGCCGAGATTGCTGCATTAGGTTCCATTCGGATTGCTGCGTGTCAATGGGCTCGCTAGACTCTCCGCTTGAGTACGTTTCAAGACTTGAAACTATACTATCTATGGTTGCTCGAATCAATTGAATTCTGTATAGCTTTGCAGTCTGATACTTCGCCTGTGGCGTAAACTGTCAGACTCAAAAGAGACATTGAAAAGTGGCCTGCCGATTTCCTGCAGAGTTGTCAGACTGTTTGCAGATTGTTTTTTGTGTCTTCGGAGAGTGGACCTCGTTTGTTTCTGATATTTCAGGATTGTCTTTGCAATCTACTAAACACAACTGCGTCTGTGTAATCATGACCACTGGTCTGGGGTCCTCACAGCATCTCTGTCGATTTCAGCAAGTCTTGTTTAGCCAGGTCCGTGCCACTGTCTCGAGTCCAGAGTCGTTCTTTTCTTTTTCGAGGTCGGGGTTGAACTTGAGGTTTCGAGTGGCTTTGCGCTTCTTCGGCCCCTTTGACGGACTTCCTCAACTGTCGGTTTGTGATCACCGCGGTTTCCAGGGTGCAATGCGCATTTTGCTTGAGCCATGGCCTTGAGAGCGGTGAGCCTTCTGAGGACTTGGCCGATGCTCAGCGCCGCAGTCACCCGCTGTGCCTTCAGGCGAGTTGGAACCCTGGCAAGGTACGAGTCTTGCGGCGAGCGAGGGCCAAGCACAAGAAGGACGGCGTGTATGACCAAAATCCTCCAGTGGGGGAGCTTAAGAGCTGGTCTCTGGAAACCTAATGGCCTGTCTGAGGAGGCACCGAGGCACCTTCGCGCATTGAGATCGTCTTTGGCATCTCTGAGTTCCATAAGTTTTCTTCTCGAGGGGGTGCTTTGGGCCAAGCGGACGAGAGGGTGAGCTCGGCATCGCCGATGGCTGTGGTGCCTCTCGTGTCAATGCGTGCGTGGCCATGTGCGCTATCTACAAGCCTGCAAGCCTTCGACTGGGCTTGCAATGTACGAGGGCGGTGACGTCGAGGTCCGAAGCCCGGGAATTCACCGGAAAACCTGGCGCTTCGTGGCGGACCTGACGGAGGAAATTCGATTTGATGGACCAAGCGTCGTCACAAGATCACTGGCAGTTTCTGTCAGATCAGGCCACATGCGATCTCAGAGCTCGAAGGCCACTGCCGCATTGACGGCTCACATTCGGATTGCTGCATGTTTGTTGCATGTCAATGGACTCGGTAGACTCTCAGCGCATTTCAAGACTTGTAGCTACCATCATATGGTTGGCTCGAGTCTGTTGAATTCTGCTCTGATACTTTGCGTGTAGCGTAAACTGCCAGACAGGTAGTGCAAGGAGACATTGAACAGTTGCCTACCGACTACTGTAGCAGAATTGCCAGCAGACTGTTTCGAGATGCCCATAGGTGTGCATAGGTTTGACACAACACCTTACTTCCTGAGTTTAGTCACTTTTTGGGTTTGGACCATTCTAGTGATACACAAACAGTTTGGCGACTTCTTTTGGGCACTCGGGAAGTGAGTATTGCGTTTCCTTTCGCAGGCGCCCGCTCCCAAGGCCAAGGCGCGTGTTTTTTTTTGATTGCGAAAGCAGCGTGCCTTTTTTTGGGATCTACGGGAGGGGTGGGGAAAGTCGAGTGGTTGCAGCGGCGAAAGGCTCCAAAAGGATCTCGTTTGAAGCTTTACCTCTAGTCTACACATGGACCAGGGGACCCTCGCTGGTTGGGGAGGTCTTTCGGGTGATTGGAGATGGTCTCTGGGATCTCTTGAAGTAGATCATTCCAGGGGTTGGTTGACATGTACGGCATGGTTAGATGGCTGACCGCGGCTGACCTATTTGTGGATGCACGAAGCATTACGAGCACGGGAACAAGGGAACCTTCGAGTTTGCCATCATTTGTAATGGCTTTGTGGCTGGTTTACTTGCAGCATGCAGATACATGAAGGCGTCCATGGACCAGAGTTAGGACGCCCTTGTCGGACTTCGCACGGATTTGCGCTTACATCAAACCGTGTGCTTCTTGCGCGCTCGGTAGGTCAAGTGGGCCCGGGGGGGCATCTGAGCCACTGGTGGGTGGGCACCGTGAGCAAGGGTTTTTGTTTCTTCTTACTTCCATTTGTTCAGAGCCTCTATTTGATTAGTATGTAATATATACAGATATGATTAACTTATGGGCTGTGGTGTCTATGTGTATCTGCTGCAAGAAGAAAACCCTATGCGCGTTGCATGCATTTGTTTTCCAGATCCGCATTCTTTGCAGCCCAGAGAGATCCAGGCAGAGCCCAAGAGGAGCTCCAGGCGAGGAGCGCGCCGGAGGGCCACTCGGGTTGGTTTGTCTTGAGGGTACCCCATTGTTTGTGGGAAACTGAAAGCCACATCATTTTTCGGGGTCCCAAAATTTTAGACACGCCCTAAGGGGCCAAGTGGGTGTAATTGACGGGTTTGGAGGGGGGCTTAACTTGGCCAAATAATTAGACCTCAGCATCTATGATCATGACTCAATCTGGTGTTGAAGTGCCCAAGGCCATTCTAATTAGTTAATGTCACGAAACAAATCAACTACGGGGCGTTGTTTGATCAGTGGTTTTTGAATTCCCCTCGTGTGATTACCCCAGACTTCAGCCCACTGGGTTGAGTCTACAAAGACTGTTCAACAAACAAACCATGTTGGCGATGTTTGGATGAACCTTTTTCGCAATTAGGCCCTCATTCCCGGACCTCCATTGGGGCATTGTCGTTGCTTTCGTGTTGGGGAACCCCCCTTTAGAAAACGGTCGCGTTTTTGCCCGTGGAGCCTGAGATTTCGCCACTGGGTTCAAAGGGGTGACCCTTCGATCAGGTCCCCTTCTGTTAGAAGGTCCCTTCTGGACCCTTTGGGGGGGGAGCCTGGGTTTTGTCCCCAAGGTACATTAGACTCCGACAGGAATGCCAGGTCCAAGACACCAGAGGTTTGGGAAGCCATGTCAAGAAGCCATTTGGGGAAACCAAACTGAGCCAAAGAAAAGCTCAGGGGAAACCAAGAAGCTAAGCACGGTCAAAAAGGGCACCCGGGCCCTCAAACTACCCTTCAAACTTGGAAAACGGGCACATGAATGATTTCAGAACTTTGAAGGCTAGGTTTGGAGGGTCCAAGTCTAGCCTTCGAGTTCCCTTCTCGCAGCCGGACCCCGGTTTCGCCGAAAAACGGCCTCCCGGCTTTGGATCAGTCTGAGTTTTTGTCGCGAGGTGGTGGAGCTTCGCATGGCACGGCCACACCCTGGAGGTTCCCAAGGAACAGGAGAAGGCGAGGGAAAAGCCGACGCCGGAGCCGCGGAGAAAACCGGAAATTGAGCGGCTGGAGCGGTTGGAGCGCCCCCGCAAAAAAAGAAAGAAACAGGTATACTGGGTGTGGTGGTTCTAAGGACTTTGTTTGAACTTTGTTCTTTTTGAGGCCCAAACAACAGCAACTGGTATATGGGATTATATGGGTTTTGTGGTTGCAAGGCGTTTTTTTTGTTGACCTTGATAACCATCTTAGTGGAACTAAAAGTCACGGGGTCCCCGGTCTGACCTTTTGGAGTTGTATTCGGTGTAACTTCGTACAGATCGCAAGGACCTTTTTGGAAGCAACAGACGTGTCATCCTAAGGGGGAAGAACAGCCCAGCGAACTCCGAGGCTCGGAACCGCCGAAGTGGTTAAATATAAATCCCGACTGGATGTTTGATGTCCGCCTAAGGGTCCTTTATGGCCCCCTAGCTAAAAATCACCCGAGTGAGCCGCGGCTTCCTGTTGGGACCACCTGGCTTTATTGGTTTTATAATAGCGTCCCACACATCTTTATGAGCAAGCTGGTGGAACTGAAAGTTCATGGGTTTCGGGAACTGCTTCAAAAACAATCAAACTTTAGTATTAAAAATGCATTTTGGGAAAAGCAGACGAAGCAACCACAAATCAACAAGATAAAGCAGAACAACTCTTTTTCTGGCTTTCTGCCCTTTTTAAGGGGGGGGGGTACGGGGGAACAATGATTGAATGTTTGTTTTGCCAAACCTTGTTAGCCCTTTACTTTAGTCGGGGTGGGAAGCTGGGAGGCAAAAGGAGAAGCCTTCAATCTGGGGGGTTCCTTCTGCTTGCTTGTAGGTTGGTTGGATTGTTTTGTTTTTTTTGTTTGGCATATTTTGTTCGCTTGTTGGTGTGGTGTTCTTGGTTGGCTTGTTGGTTCTTTGACTGGCTGCATCAACATGCGTGAGCTGGTTTCACAGTTGACTGCTCGAGCTGCCCGTCGCCAGTATGTCGTCAGGAGAATCTTGGGCCATGTTCCCGGCCCTTCGGCCCTTGGAATGGACAAACGGCTAAAATCTGAGAATTAACTGCTAGCATCCACCCCCCCCCACCCCCCCACCCCACTTAAGTACTAAAACTTACACATGTGTGCTTATTACCTTCCTACCTACCTTATTGTGGTTTAGTGCTTACATCAACACTTAACTGAGAATTAACTGCGAACATCCAAACCCCAACCCACCCCCCACCCCACTGAACTACTAAAACTTACAAAATTTGCTTATTACCTTCCTACCTACCTTATTGTGGCTTAGTGCTTACACACAGGAATCCACTTTAAAGCATTTTGCCAAGGGATGTTAGGACTGTAACCTTTTTGCTCCAACTAATGGGTTTTCCGTATTAAACCGCTAAAAGAAGAAACTTTTAGCAGGGGAGCAGACAGCAACCGAGGAAGACCAATTTCCCTTGCAAGTCCTTCAGGAGGTGGAGGTCGTTGAGCCGGCACCTGCGAGGGAAGAGGCCAGCGGCTGGTCCATTTCAGGTTCCGCAAATTTCCCGAAGCCTGGGACGAGTTCGAAAAACCCGCAGCAGAAGCAAGAAGCGCGAATTGTCCCCCCACAAAAGCCTACAGGCGAGTTCGATTATTTTTCAGGGGAGTTATAGAAGCTGTGACACGGGCTGATATAGGCTTGCCGAGCAGCGGAGCACAAAATCCGTGGGTCTCTGTTGGTAACCCGTAAAAAGAGCCCTAAAAAAGATAGCCTGAAAACAAGCAAGACGGCCGCCCCACATTTTGGGTGACGTTTTTTCAAGGGGCCACTGGGCGCCGCTTTCGAGCCAAGGGTCAAAGACAGAGTGGGCTGAGGTACCCGCTTAGCGGGTTCGAATCTGCGGGTTCCCGAGCGCTTGCACCAAGGGAGAATCAGGTGCATCC